ATTAATAGGCGGAGTTACACCCATGAATATTAAGAAGTATGCACGCACAGTAAGACCAGTAAGTCCCGTACGAACCGAGGGGGGGGGGGGGGGGGGTTCGGAGTTATTAAACTCTTAACCACCGACATTCGCACGAGGTAGGGGCAACCCGATTCGATTTGGCGAACCCCAACCTCGTTCAGGCATTCCTTTACTTCATTGTTTAATAATGATATGAATATTAGATTTCTATATAATTACGCATGACGATACGACACTTGATCACGTTCTTCTTGTTTCTAAGTGCATTTGTACAGACACACTGGAACAGAGTCAATGAAGAACATATAGCGAACATTGTAACAAATACAAGGTAAGTTCAGGTAAGAAATGTGAATAATTAGGAGGTGCCCTAGGTCAGGGCGATTAGCGCCAGGTATCTGGAGCATTCTGGTCCATCCACCCTCACCCATAGCCACAAAAATTTGGGCCTAAATTCTAAAACTAGTCCCCTATTTCTTTTCTTTTTGAATTTTGGGGCCTGAGACCCATCACTCCAGGGACTCCGACAAGAGCAAAATTTTCCTCCTGGACGAGAACTCCCGGACTCCAAGAGGCAGAGTAAATCAAGGGCAGAATATACTCGGAGGAGCAACAATAATTCGGAGGAGCAACCGCGGAGTTGGAAAATTGTGGAGTAGGAACACAAGTTTGGAGCAGCGAGCCTAGTCTTTTTCTGAAGCCCAGCAAACTCGGACAGAACGATAACGTTCAACGTTAACAGTTCCACCCCAATTATGTGGTACGATAAACGTTAACGGAAATCGGGCGAGAACGCAGACGCGGCGCCAAGGCAATACGTTAACGCCCACCACGTTTAACGGCAAGGCAGCCTAACGGCATGCAAATGGGCGAAAGGTATATATAAGCGTTAATGACTCCGTCCTCGACCTGAACCAGCACAATGGAGAGGCACTAGAGCGAACGTCGAGCACGCACACGTCCTGCACATCAGAGGCGGACTACTTAAGCAGCTAGCGTATCAACGAGAAGACTGCACTCGATATTTCGACACTAGCACGATGACCGCCAACCACTCTGTACCGTACGCAACGGCTACCTCGATACCCACCCAGCGGTTCCATCGCTGAGCCAGCCAGCAGCACCGCACCCGACACTCAACCGACCAGTAGCACCGCGCCGCTGATGCCAGACTACTTGTTCCAACAGCAAGCAGCGATTGCTTTTGGCATCGGTTTGCCACAAGCGCCAGGAGACTCCCCACCAATCCCTGCTGGAGCACCAGCAGGTGTGAGCGAGACAGTCCCGCGACTCCCTTTGACCCCTAAAAAAAGGGACGGAGACCGCAGGCACGCAAGGCCTACAGCT